GAAAAAGATCTTTTTTTTTGGACATTTTGAGAAACGTGATGATCAAACCAAAATGGAAAAGATTTTACGCTGAAAACGCGTGATCAATAAAACAAATGCATCAAATACGCACGCTTCTCTCCGGTGTGACTGTACATGTGTGTCTGCAAAGAACTTGGTCTAGTGAATCTTTTCTGACAGATGTTGCACTTGTACCTCTTGGGAGTGGACGATACGGTTTTCGAACTAAAGGTGGTCATCATAGCTTGAGGTGTGGGTACAGATGAAGGTCTCTGTTGTCCTGCTGATGACTTTGGAGAACCGTTTCCATTTGAGGCAGATGGTAAACCCATGCTTCCATTGGAGTATCTTGCAGCCATCGTCATAGGATAATCTTGTGGCGTTGGTGGCATTCCTGGAGGAAAACCGGTCCCGTGATGTGGCATACCATTTCGATCATAACCTACAGGAGCTTGTCCGTAATAATTCATCGGAGAAGCATTATTTGGACCGTTAGGTTTTATCATACTAGGATCACTAAAGAAAGTGGGATCTATAGCCCTATCATCAAAACCTTTTGGTTGTTTTCCGGAATGATAAGAACCGAAAGGGAATGGGGATGACCCACTCCAATTTTCGGAATTTGCATCACCTGTAGTAGCTTCTATAAAATGATTAAAAAAGAAAAATTTTTTTTTTTAAATTAGCGAAAGTTTTGAAAAAAATACGATGCAAAGAATAAAAGTTGCGTGACGCTTACCATTTCCTGGGGTTAGGTAAGCCGTAGTGGTTGGTGCTGTAGATGCGGGATACGAAGCTGAAGCATATCTAACCGAACAATTAGAGAAAAAGTTAATTGTTGTAAAGAATGCGATGATCATGAGACGCATTTGATCTCCCGTTGTACCGAGACTTGATCCCCCTTTTTTTTGCCACTTATAAATATTAAACATACGTTGTAGGAGTAGTAGGATATGTTTCGTGACTTCCGTGTCCTCCGTGTCCTCCATGTCCTCCACTAATGGTCACCGGTTTGGTATCATGCAAGTCAGAGAAAGATGGGGGAGAAGAAGTTGCAGTTTGACTAGTACTCTCTGTCATCATTCCGTTGTTCAAGTTGATATGTTCAGCCGAATCGTAAGAGTCTACGCAAGGAGAAGGGTAATCAGTAGCGGGAATATAAATTTCTGGTTGATGAATTTGTTCTTGTGGTGATTGAAAGACTTTATGATATGGCGAACTATTATTGAAGACTTGTTGTTGAGCGTAAGCTAATGCAACTGCTTTTCTAGGAGAGGGAGGAGAAGGTGGAGAATCAAAAGAATTAGAATCACTTGTTTGAGTCAACGTTATAGGTGTAACTTGTTGATATGGTTGATTTAATTGATGTTGAAGTGAGAAATGATTGTACGAGGAATCAAGAGACGAAAAGTTATAAAAGGATTTCATAATAAGAAAGCGAGTGATAGAATAAATATATTTAAAAGGGAAGGAGAGAAAAAAATATTTTGTTTTTGTTTGTTTTTTTTTTTTTGCGGTTTATATAAATAATATAATAAAAAATAACCCCCCAAGTTGAAATGATAACCGTCAAAAAGGCAAGGTGAGGTATTTATAATAAATTTCGATTTAAAATATTTAAAATAAAGGTAAGATAAACAACCATAGATAATAACCGAAAAGATTCAAATCAATTCATTTAAGGAAGAAAATTTGTTAGTTTTCCAGGGAGCACACATATTTTTATAAAAAAAAAAATTCATTTTACCTTTATGCTTTATATCTTATAGATTTTTATTCCAAACCGGCGACATTAACAAATTGTAAACTCGGATTCAAAAAAAGAACTACACAAACCTAAAAAATACGATAACTAAAGTGAAGTATTTATAACTAACAGTCGGGAAAAAGGGAAAAAATGAATTGTTGTTGATTCGGATAATGATGGAGCAAATTTATTGTGTTGTTATTTGATGACGAATGTTTTGTTGTTATTCAGTTGTATGCGTAGCAAGTAGTACTTTAATAGTTTGTACGTGAACCTATTTGAGTTTATACTAAATATGTAATAATGTAAATAATATATTAAATAAAGTAATGGTCGGCGATAACGTAAAAAAAAAAAAAAAAATTTTTTTTTTTCTGACTAACCGTTAGAAAATATTGCCTTTACAGTACGGCAATATAAATATCACCTGACGATATACACAAAAATACAATATAATTAATATATATATATATATAAAAAAAAGATATTTGTTTACTTGGGATTGTCAAAGAAAATGATTTTTTAAAAAATTTTGGGCGACACAAACGATTAAGAGAATGCTGCAAAGAGCGCGGGAGGAGAGGATGTGGGATAATAGTCCTTTTTATTTAAAAAAAAATTTTTTTTTGTTTTCTTTTGCAGACACAAATAAATGAACTGACAAATAAGCGCAAACAGGTTTTTTATTTACTAAACCTGGATGAGTTATAATTGTGTACTGGTTTGGCGATAGGACCAACGCAGAGTCATTAAACCGACTGAAAAGCAAAACAAAAAGCGAAGAATTGAAAAATAAAGACAAGATCATAACAAAGACATAACCCACATTCCCACTTCTGGATTATTGCTCTACATGAGAATATCTTTAAAGATGATGATTTTTTGTTGTCTTTAAAATGTAAATAATTGAAATTTTTTTTTTCTGTGGGGTAACGAAAAAAGCAAGGTTACACGACCATATATGCATAAAACGGGGTGGTATTTTTTTTTTTTTTTTTTGTTCTTGGTACCTGCATCACAGGGAATCCGTTCAAAAAAGTTTGACTGATTGCTTTTTCTGGGTTCAATGACCAAATGATGCTTTTAATAACATCATTTATTTTGTATCGTACATTATTTAAAGGGAATTGCATAATAATTTATGTGAGTTTTATTATACTGATTATTGATAAATCTAAGATAATATTCTATACAGGAACAGGAACAAATAAATGATTTCACTCCCGATATGCATCTACAGAAAAATGAGATTCTATTGAACTTATCGGAGAAATATTTCAAAAAAAGGTACGATACCTATGAGCATTTACCGAAAAGGTAATTCTATAGTAACACAACGAGAAGAAATCAAAAAACTTTTCAACAAATGCATTCAATTAGAATAACAGGTTAAAGAGTTACGCTTCATAAACAGGTTGTATTCGTCCAATGGGCTCATGTCACGTGTTTTAATCCTCAAGGAACAAACCAGAGCTCTCGTACTAATCCGACCTTTGTCCGTAGAATGATATCAGATAAGAGAAACACGACTTTTTTGGTGCGCGCACCTTTCGATATCATCGTAATTGTAATTAAGATGATATAAGGTTTGTCATGTAACATTGCATTTGTTATAAAGAACCTGATTGTGGAATGTTGTATAATGTATAAAGATTCATGCGTGAATGCGTGAACGTGTGGAAAAGCTAAAGACCTTAATTTGCTAAAGTTTTGATTTTTCAGTAAAAGCTTTTTTTTTGTGACCGAAATAATAAGATTGGTTCCGGCAAATTTTTATCCGAAATTTACATTGTAGTATACATAATATATATGTATATTAATAATAGGTAATTAAATTTAGTAAATTTTATACCATGCGCCACATTCCCGAATTACACAAATGAAACCCTGTCAAACATCTCACCAATTTCAAAAAACCTGCTTTTTATCTTCATAATAATTACTATATACGTTTCAATGTTTACTGATTGTTTGAAAAAAAATCTTGATTCTAATCTTACAGTTACCAGGCAAGAAAAAAAAAATTGCCATGATTTGAAAAATAGAATGGAAGTTCATCGACGAACCTTATTTTTTTTTTGATTTTGACAAGTTTGACGAAAAGAGTTTGAAACTTTTCAATCTTACACAAGGCATTCATTCTGTACGATAATATTTGTCTCCTTAATAGTTATGCGCGAAACATTTAATCCTGCATAAATTCACGATCTAATATAATATAATCAATTTTTTTTCATTATTTTTATCCTATGGTAAATATTTGGTAAAAACAAAAAAAAAAATGATTATCAAATGATTGGTATGTGAAAGAAAAATATGACACGATATATTTATATGTGAGATTACATACTATTCCGGCATTTTAACCTTATCGCTTGTCCTTTTGGCCTCCTCCGTACTCTGATGGTTTGTTTTTGTCATTGTTCATCAAACTTCTTCCAGCGTTGATTCATTTTCCCTTGGCAACTTTGTTTCAGAATAATAAATCTTTCTCCCATCCCAAAATTGTAAAGAATCTACAAAGTTACACGACAGATTTTTGTGATCGAAAAACTATCAAATGCTTTTTTATGCACGGTCTTGTGGCTTTTTTTGTAATTCAAAAAGAAAAAAAATTTTTTAAATTAAATTTAACAAGTATTTTGTTATTTATCATTAAAAATTTAATTTTATTTTTAATTGCGATTTCAATATTATATATGACCCGGTTTATCCATTTATGTATAAATTCTGTAGTACGGTTCTTTTTATCGTGAGTAAAAAACATCTGTATATAAAAGATAATAATAACGCAATATTTAATATTTATTCACGTTAATCCATACCATAAATGATTTCTAAACTTTATACAATTTCCGGTTAAAAAATTGATTTCATGAGCCTTTTTTTTTTGATCACACGCTTTAGCGTCGCATATTCCGGTGCCGCTTTTTTTTAAAAAAAATTTGATTTTATTTTAAGAGAATAAAAAAAAAATTCCATCCATTGTTTGTGTTCCAGATTTCTCATTGAACGATGAGCAATGAACAATGGAATTTATAAATTGGGAATGAATGCTTGTTGAGATAATGCAATTCCTCTTCCTTAAAATTATCATATCCCCAACCATTTCGCAAATTTCATTATAGTTTAATTTATTCTTAATTCGTCTAGTTATGACGAACATTACCATAATGGGTAGATTATGTCACCAAACCTGAATTTTTTGGTATGAGCTTTTATGAAAATCTCAGCCCGATCAAAATCGATAATTTTAGATAACGCGCTTCCGTAATGCCAAAAATGCAATGGTGTACTTAAACAAAACCTCCTTGTACATAAACAAAAATGCAGCCGTTAAAACAGATTGAAGTAGTTTTGATGTGATCCCCTTATAAAGTCCCCCATAACCTTCATTTGTAATAATCTTTTGAAGCCCATCCCATGTATTCTTGTAACGTGCACTTTCTAGTGAAGATTGACGTAACTGCATGCGTGATTTAATAACGCTACAACCATAAAAAAATTCAATTACAAGAAAAGGTGAGAAATAAATATTGTTATATTAACATGATGAATCATAAAAAAAAAAAAATTTTTTTGATTGAACTTACATGTAAGGATAAGTGGAACTGGTAGCGACAAGTTTACCAATGGCTCCCAATAGGAAAAAATCTAAATTTCCCAACTTTTTCATTTTTTCTATTCGAGATTTTAATTGTTCAAATACGGTGTATTGGATAATTGGATTAGTCACTAAAATGAGGGCAGGGATGACACCTTGCCAGAAAGCTTTAAGCCCATCTTCGTTGATAATTTTCAAGATCGTCGCGATGGTTCCCAACTTTCTTGGTTTTGTTCTTTCTCCCTCACCTTCATCCAAAGATACTTTGCATGTTGTCATACGAGTCTTAAAATAATTCAAGTTAATAAAATTATTGAAATACACACACATATTTATATATATTATTCATTGAACTTACATTCACCACCCAAATTGGATTTGTGACCAAGACTGTAGCCGAACCGGCTATTGTTCCAGCAATTATGGATTCCACGACCGACATTGGACGTTTGCTTTTTTCAAAAATTGCTTTTGTAGTCTCATAAAAATAATAGTAAATTCCTAATGCGGAAAATTGAATTAATCAAATGTAAATACATAATATATATATATATATATACGTGAACGCACATACCATTTGTCACTGCAATCCCGAATATGGCAGAATTTAGTCCTCTGTATTAAAATATAAGAAATGTTGTATAAGGAAACGACTTATGAATCAAAATAATATTATTAAAAAGAGCAATCCTTACGAGTATAACCCTTTAATGCCTTCATTATTAAAAATCTTGACGGCGGCATCCCATCCTCCCTAATGAATTGAACTTAATAAAAATAAAATCTTCAAATGAACAGAATATCATGAATAATAATTTACTTTATATGCATCGATTCCTTTTGTGTCTTTTTGCACCTGAAGACGAGAACTAACTGTAATCAATGGATAAGTCAAAATCATAGCTATGATACCACCACCGGCACCTAAAGATTAAAGAATATTAGTCAAAAATGAGGTAGAGCAAAGAGAAAACAATCATAATCCGTTTAAATTATTATTACATACCGCTAAGAGCGTGGGCAACATTGTCAGACATTATTAAAAATGATTATTCAAATAAAAAAAAAAATTTGGATATATATATTTTATTTCAGTGATCAGAACACAAAAATCAAGTTGATCAACCACCAAAAAATTTTGTTTGTGCCACCGTAACAAACTATCATCGGTGGTTGATAGTTTAAAAACTTGTAAATGACAAAAATTCGTTGAAAGTATCCGCAAATTGCAAATTTTTCCGATATTCTTGACACATACTTGAAATACGAAAAGTCTCATGCAGATTATACCGGATGTTGAAAAGGATATTGGTGGATCATCGCAAATCTTTTGAACACGGGGGAAGATTTAATTAATTACACGTGATCATGTCAAAATAATCGCTACGTGATGTTCCGAGGGTAAGGCGAGCGTGCCGAAGGTCATATTTTTTAGACGCGATATATTAAAGAAAATAATTGACCCTGCTAACTATTTTTTTTTATTTTTCAATTTCAAGAATCAAAGACTATAAACGCGTATCTTCAACGTAGTCATCCCAGATATAAAGATACACAACAACGTATTAAATTCATTTTTTTAACTTTAACCATGAAACTTTCAAAGTAGGTGTATGTCAACAAAGTTGACATGCATGTAAGATACAAATATTTATTCATCACAAACAAAAACAATTCCCGGTAAATATCATCATACCTCTATTCTCGCATAATTTCGGCAGAATTATGATGGTAGCACAATGACTGCGGTGAATGTCCAATATGGTTGGTATTAGATGTGGTGTTTCTGCAAGGGACAATGGTCATGAAAAATAGTAAAAATCCATCAAGAAAAATCTTGCTTTTACATCTAATTTAGCTTAAAAATTCCTCTTTTTGAATACAGAATCGATACATTGTTATCTTTAAGAAACCAAAAGATAAAAAACTATAATGATTTCATAAATTTAATACAATCAATAAATACCGTAATTACACTTCTTTTTATCATTTTTATCATTTTTCCGTTATCAAATCACCGCATTCGAGATTGTACAATACTTTGTAGCACCCTTTAAGAACAAAACAACCATTGTTTAAAAAAAGTCACGAAGCTTGTGAAAAAAAATTTTTTTTTTGGGTTTCGCCTTTGTTTGAATAAGGCTGAAAAAAAGTAAACCTGTTTCATTATATGCTTATATACAAATATTTCGATTGTTAAAGGCAAATTTTGTTTACCCACCAAAAGTCATAGATAACGAGTAGAAATTGACCAATTTGCTTGCTCATGTGAGTCAGCACATGATACTGCGGTTCATTCGTCAAACGTATTGGATCATTATAATTCTCTGATATACTCTCACACTTTACTTAATACCTACCCTTTCTTTTTTTTTTATCGTTAAAAAAATTTACCATAATAAAACTTCGCAATGAATAGCGATCGATTATCCACTTCCACTTCACTTCAGTCGTCAGGTTCTACTTTTATCTGTACTCGCTGGTACTGTTCTTAAAAATAAGGTTTTCTAACTTTTTTTCCCTCTCAACTTTTCGTGCTGTAAATACTCGTTTAGTAGGTGCCACTTCTGCTGAAGAATTGGCAGAAAAATATCAGAAATTATTCTTAGAATTCTCTCGGTAAGTGATATCTTGGAAGTTCTTCCTCAATGAATTCTTCCTTGCATCTAATTTTACCGTTTATTTAGAATAAAAGCACAGCATTCAGTCCTTAAAAAGGCCGTTATAAAGGTTTGATAAGATGAAAGAATTAAGCTGGTTTTAGTGAGAAATTCCCTAATTCGTGGATTTTATATAGGAACAATCGGAAAAAAATACGTTGCAAGATGAATGTAAAACCAAAGAACAGAAGTTGCGATCAGTGCGTTATTAGATTAATTCTTAATAATTATTGTTAATCATGCAAATAGTGTAAGACCTTTAATTAATTCTTGTCCCAAAAACTATAATGTAGTCAATCCAACAACTTGATCTTTTAACTTTTCACAACCAACGTTTGACCAAACGTATTGAAAGTTTACAGGATTCAGGAAATTCGGTAAGAAATAGATTTTTAATTGTCCTAATTTATATTATTTTATCAAACGTTGTTCATTCCTTTTTTATTCATCAACTAGAGGATGTCTCCTTGGTTGTTGGGTTCAGCGAAGAAAGAACTTGAAAAGTCAAAGGCTAACCTCGAAATTACCTCAAAAGAATTATCTCTAAAGATCGAAGAAAATGGTACAATTTTAATTCATGATATATATATGTGTAATTATCCGTGCATTGGTTATAATAGAGAGATATTTAATTTGATTTTATTTAATGATGCAGAAAAATTACATAAAGAACTTTTCGAAGTGAACAGTTTGTACACTCAGCACGTTAATGTTCTTCAAACCAAAATATCTGATTTTGAGAATAAGACCGAAGAGCTTCAGGTAGATTTAATGAATTTATTCGGAATATTATGATGAAATATATATTTCGTTTAAATTATAATCAAAAAATTTTATCTCATCAAATTTAGATGGAATTGACAAGATCACACCAAGCAAGTGAAGAGGCTCTAAGTAAAATGCGTCAAGAAAAAAGAGATGTTGAGGTTGAATTAGATCAGACAAGGGCAGAACTACGAATGTATGTATATCATAAATCTCCTAAATCAGTGTTCTTCTTTTGTATAACGATCGACCTTTTGAAATTATAGAACGAAGGCCCTTATGGAAAAAAATGAACAAAAATTGAGAGAAGGTGATGATGCATTGCGTTTTGAGTTAATTGCACTCAGACAAACTCTTTCAATTAATCTTGGCTTAGCAGATGAGACTCAATCTGAACAATTTAATGTTAGTAATGTTAGAGTAAAATGAGTGATACTTTATATGTATTATAGTTTATTTAATCCGTTTACGTTTACTCTGTTTACGATCAAATTAGGCTTTAAGTGAAAATTTTGATTCTGAATCTAACGAGATAATTGCAAGCTTTAAGAAATTACAATCCAACACTAGAGAATATTTGAATGCATTTAAAGATGATGTAAGAGTTATTTTGTGAATGGGTAAAAAAAAAAAATTTTTTTTTATTTTATTCTAATTTTTTTTCCCTAAAATTTTTTAGCCAGATTCATCCTACGAATTAAGTGTTAAAGTAAAAAATGCAAGTCTAGCATGGCAACAAAATTTGCATATTTTTGCGGTTAAATTAGCTTTTGCTCAAAGTATGTATAATGTTTTCAATATAGTTCATTTATGCATAAATATAATAATAATAACAGCTATTACGGAATCGTTGCTTATTATAAATGTTCAGGTCGAATAACTGAATTAACATCGGATAAAGAATTACTCATCAAAACTAATGAAAACAGCTCAAATAAAGTCGCAGCGTTAGAAAAAGAAATTTCCGCTCTAAAGGAAGAATTGGAAAATGTAACAATATATATTTTTTCTTGTGGTCTGAATATTAATTAATTATGACAAATTAAATAGCATATATATCTATTATTTTAGTTAACCTCCGATGGTATTGCATCGGAAATGGGCCAATTACAAAATGATTGTTCACAGAATCTAGATAATGAACAAGTTCATTCTAAGCCATTCTCAGCAAAAAGTAGTACTAAATTGGATGACGGTATTGGTAATTCTAAATTATATTTAAATGAGCTCGATGGTACGTTATTTTCAAATAAAGGCACTTATAAAATACTGAGATTAGCATTGACGCTTTGTACAATGAATTTAGAATCTAAATCGAAGCCAACGTCACAAAACGACTCATTCCAAAAGGAATCAAACGTAAAGGGAGACGGAACTCCTGAATTAGTATTTGGAGAAGGTGAAAGTGAAGAAGAGGTAGCACTTCTACAGTATTTGATACTTTGAATTGCATCGCATTATGTTTGGAATTTAAAATTTATAAGAAATATATCTTTTTATATTTAGTCAGATGTATTTGTTTATTTACCTATAAAAGAGGAATTAACTGTTGGTCAAGATGATGAATCAAATGGATTGTGTAAGAATTGTGGTAAATCTATCCAGGATGATGATAATGAAACCAGTAACGGAACAGCACGTTTCCTCGCTTTAGGACGCAATGATATGAGCGTGAGTAATTTATATTAATCATTGAAAAGGTAAATTTTTTTATAATTTATAATATTGAAGTTTCTTGTTTGATTTAACTTTATTTTTAGCGGAAAACTGAAGACGATGCCAAACAACGCGAAGAACTAATCAAGAATAATTATCAATTTCAAATAAAACAATTAAACGAGAAGGTTAGTGATGAATTGTTAAATTCTTTTTCTTTTTTTTTAAAATAAAAAAGGTTCAAGTATTTTTATAAACATGCTACCCTTTATATTGATAGGTGCAAATGGCAGATAGTAAAGCTGTTCGATTTTATGAAGGTTTAAAGATTATGAAAGCTAAGTTGATAGATGCTGAAAATGAAAAGTCGCGAGTTGATGAAGATATTTCTAAGTTACAAAAGGAATTAGATAATATCAAGGTAAAATGATTATAAAATTGTCCAAATAAATTTTTTATTAAAAATATATATATATTTTGTTGATAACGTTATTATTTTATATTAGGAAAAGTTGGCAGAAGAAAAAAATGCCCATAAAACATCAGTAGATACAATGACAGATTGGATTGAAAAATTATCCGTTAAAAATGAACTTTTAGGACAATATGCAATACCTGGCTCTTCAAGAAATGATTAAACAAATAAACGACTTTTATGTGTATATTAACTCTTCTCACAAAATATTATTTTGTAATTATAAACATTAAAAATGTTATAGACATTGTATAATAGCAAATAAAGAGTAGAGGGATATATAATTATTTAATTTTTATAAATGAACTTTTAAACATAATAGGGTTTTTATCTAAGGTAATAATTGTATATGGAAAAAAAATGTTAATTAATATATATCTTTATTTATCTAAATAATAAAAAAAAAAAATCTCGTTAATATTCTTAATTATTAATAGAAATCAGATATAGTATAGAATTGCATCTCTAATAATAAATAAGATTTTAATTTATTAAGATCAAGTTTATAATTATTTTTATATTATATGTATTATATGTATATAATAATTAATAAATTAAAATACATATAATTTTAGTCAACATTTTTTTTTATTTGTATTATTAAAAGATTAAAATTTATTTAATTGATAAACATTCTTTCATTTCTTGTGTATTATTGTATTCCAACTTAGAAAATTTTATTTTTGTTCTTTTTGTTTAGATCAAGTAATATTTTTTAAAAAAAGAATATATCATGAATGCAAAATATTAAAAAAATTTTATTATATGAAAAATTTATATCTTAATTAATTAATTTATTTTATGATTAATATATTCGAATACATTTGAAAATTATCTTTTTATAGTAATAGATTCTTCAAAGATTCTTAGATATTTATTTGAGATTCATCCAAAATTAATTTATGATTAAATCAGAAATTCTTTAAATTAAAAGAAAAATAATATGAAATATCATTCTGATAATCATAATCCTAATATTTAAAATTTTTAGATAATGATCAAATTATTTACAGAATATAAGTAAATACATAATACAGTAATTTAGTGATTAACATATTAGCTTCAGTACTTAGTGATTATAAATTTAATGCTTAACTTTCAGTTTTTCACTATGATGTCAGATTATAGTAACAATATTAATTTGATATTAAATTAATATTATTGATTTTTTTGAGTTTCTGTATTCAAATTTTTAGTTTGAATTAAAAACGATTAAATTAAAACAATATAAAATGATTATTGATTAAATTTTTTAAGCTTATTAAAGTATATAATTTTAAAAATAATGTAATATAACAAACTGAAAAAAAAATTTGTAAAATAAAATACTTGATTAAATATTACTGATATATTAAATTCTAAATAATTTTTTTATTAATAAGCAAAAATAAGTTACAAAGAAAAAAAAGTAAAAAAAAAGATGATAAACATAAAAAAACAAATAGTAGGTAATTATATAATAAAAAAAAAGAAAAAAATAATCAGTTCAAACTGATTACATGATCAATTCTAAACTGATTTGAAAACTTTATTTTTGATAATTTTTTTAATAGATTATCAATAATAATAATTGTAGATTAAATAAAATAAAACTTTATCTATTAAAATTATTTTTTTTTATTTAATTATCTTATCTATAAAAACTATTCTAATTTTTGCTAGTTGAAATTAACATATAAAAATTAATCAATTATCTTATAAATTTTAAGTATTACACAAATTTGCAAGAAGATAATCTGTTAAAGTATCTAAAATACTAATTAATTTTTATTATTCTTAGTTTTTAGATCCAAATAAAACTTTTGAAAGTAAATTCTAACATTTTAATTTCTTATATCTAATAATTCTAATATTATTAAGAAATGTTTATCTAAATTATAATATATAAATATTATTTCAAATTATTATAATTTATTACTAATAGTAAAATTAAATCATTTGATAATGATTCATCAAATTTACAAAAGATGATTATACTCACTCTATATTTAATATATTTTCAAAAAAAATACTTATAAAACTTTAAATAAAGTTTAAAAGTAATCAAAAAATAAAGATCAAGAAAAAGAAAAAGAAAATTATAAATAGGAAAGAATGATTTCATCATAAATTTTTTTACTATACTAAATAGCTAAATTAAAAGCAAAAAAAAATAAAAACATATAAAAAAAGGTAAAGTAAATCAATAATATTATTGTTTAAAATTTTATATTAAAAGTTTAAACTAACTATACTTTTTTTTAATATTCCTATTCCATTCTTAATTGATAATTTTGCATATAATATTATTCAAATTATTTTTAGATGAATACAATTTCTTGATTTAGTAATAGTATTTCCTATTATAGAAAAGCCTACTCATATGCAACACTTGTTGTTTAATAAAAAAAATTATAAAATATTAATGCTAAAATAGAATATTCATATTTATGTATTTGTTACTAAAGAAATAGTTTTACATTTTCATCAACTTGTGATGCTAAATATCTATTTAATCATTTGAAGTTACTAAAGATAATCCTGTAAATTATGTAGTAGAACTATTAGTTAATATTATAGAAAAGAATTGAAAAGTATTATTGTAATTACATGTTATTTTTTTAACTTTTAAAAGTATTAATATAATTATTTTTTTTTTAACTTCACAGTTTTTAAAAATTATTATATGATATTCTACTAATAAAAAAATTATTATAGAAATAGCTTTAGCTATTGATATTCCAATTTTAAAAAGAAATAGTTTAATCCAAAAATCAAGAACTGTAAATACTAAGGTTAGTTTATCTATATAAATCTAATATTTATCAATTTTTTTGTTTATTGAAGAAGCTAATTTATTTTGTGTAAATTCATTACTTCTAATAATATATTTTAAATGTTCTAATATTTCAAGAAATACAAAATAAACATTAACAATTATTAAATTTATGCAACTGATAAATAAATAATAGCTCGCTTTAATAGTTTTAAAATAGTTAATATATACTTTTATTTAATTAAATTTAAATATTAGTATTATAATTTAATAAAAATTAAATAAAATAATTTATTATGTATTAAATTTTTTAATTTTACCTTAATTATTATTTAATTACTTTTTGTTGACATTAATATTTATATTTTCAACTAGTATTATATCACACTTCTTTATTGTCAACATATTATATATTAAATTTCTATTTTGTTTTTATATCTAACTCTACTCTTAAATAATTAATATTAGTATATTAACATAAATGTTTTAATCAACCACTAATTATTACTAAATTTTTAATTTTTATCATTAATTATCATACTTTTATAATAGCATTATCTATTAATTCAAGTTTTTGCTAAATTATCAAGTTTAAAATATATGATATATAATAATAATTACCAATTCCTTTTAAATTTCAGTTATAAACTATTAATAACTAATATTCTTATTACATTATCTGTTATTAATGCTAAAATCTTCTCTTATATTTCAAATTTATTTGAAACAGATAATCATCAAATCTAAGAAAAAATGTTATATTTGTTATTCTTTATTGATATAATAAATTATAAGATCAAAAAAGAGTTATTGGTAAGAATTGATATTTATGTATTAGATTTTAATATATTTTCTTATAATTTTATCAATATCCAATTTAATATTTTTTTATTATATTAAACGGTCTATAATCATATATTTATTAGCATTTTTTAGAAAGTTAATATCTTGGATCTAAATTACTTATCAAATTAACAAACTGAATATTACTAAGCTTAGTATCAAATTAATTTTTTTCTTTAAACTAAGGATAAATTTTAGGAATTTAAGCTTAATTTATATTTTTTTTATCAAGTATTAGAGTAAGTTTTTATCCTTTAGTATTATTTTTCTATTTGTTCATATTTATTTTCAAGTTTACTTTCATATTTATATTCATATTTGTGTTTACATTTACATTCACTTTCATATTCATTTTTATGAAATAACTAAGAATTTCTTTCAATATCTATTATATTTATTTTATTTTTTTATTATACTTATCTTCATAAGTATAATCCATACTTTTTTTTTAAATTAGTAGTATTTTAAAACAATAAACTTTAAACAATAGTAAAACTTTATATTTAGAAATATATTAACTAATAAGTAATAATAATACAGAATATATAATATATATTAAATTTTGATTTTGATTAGATAAACTAACTTTTAAACTGATTTTATATTAGTTTGAAAATGACATAATCAACCAGTTTTTTTAAACTTTTATTATTTTCTACCAATATAATAAATATTAGTTATAGATCAAATTTAATTTCAAAGTATTTATTTTATTAATGAATCTAAGAAAAATTAATAGTAAAAAACAATTTATATTTTTTTTGAATTGTTATAGAACCTAAAAGTAATTAAAAAATTCAATTAGCTATTTTTTTTATATATAATAATAAGATGTAAATAGAATAGTATAGTAAGAAAATATATAACCTTAAAAAAGATATCAAATTTTTTGGAAAATAAGATCTAGTTAATAAATAAACATTATGATATTTTTTATGAAAAAAACATAAAAGATCTAGAAAGTTAGTTAAATATAATCTTTAAAATAATCATTTGTATTTTTTTTCTGGTTCATATGCTTAAAAAAAAGGTTGCTAAAAGAAATCTAATTCAGAAGAATAATAAATATTTGATAAGAATAAAGATAATAATAAGACAAATTAAACATTAAAATATGTTTATGAAATTGGTAAATTAAAAGAAATTTACTTCTTTTATTTTGAATTTAGGATAGAAATTGAGATAGATTCAAATTTTAATTTAATATTAATTAATTTAAGCTATTCATAAAATAAATAATTAGATTTAAGTGATAATAAGGTTAGATATATTACTATAATTTATTAATAGAAAAAACAACCTTAATTTTCTTTTTTTAATGAATATGAATTTATTTATCTAACACATATATATGTTAAGTTATTTACAATTTTATCATGATAATTATATTTTGATTTTAATGATATTTATAACTAAATCAATTTTATTTATTTATTATTTTATCAATTTAATATTTTGCTTTATAATAAATAAAATAATTATAATTAAAATATATATAATAAATTTTTTTTAACTAAGATTTTGATTTGTATAGAGGTTATATTAAAAAAAAATTGAGTAAACTT